TCTGGTGAAATCCATGCCCAGGAGGATTAAGGCGGTTCTGCAAAATCATGGTGGCCACACAAAATATTGACACTTCAGGAACTTTCACTTTAGGGTGTACTCGCTTTTGTTGCCAGGGGTTTAGCTACTAATGGCTATATTTTTAGTTTTTTTTAGGGGAAAAATAAATTTACACTGCTATATAAGCTTTACACAGACTACTTTTAATTGTGTCAAAGCGATGTTTCTTCAGTGTTGTTCAATTAAACATTATAATGACATCTCTGCAGAAATGTGAGGGGTGTACTCACTTTTGTGACATACTGTATTAAGGACTAAAGTGTTAGTACTTTAAGTCCACTGCCTCATGAACAACATAAAAGCCCCAGTTCTGGGGCTCGGATCTGTTACAGAGATTAGGGATTATGATGTCACTTTGAGGTGATATTATTTGTTACATTGGCAGAAAAGAAGTATCCAGCTGAGCATGAATTGAAAGTCTGGGCTTTTCCGTTTCAGACCCACCCCACACAGACGGCCTTTTTGTCCAGCGTCGACCTCCACACACACTGCTCCTATCAGATGATGCTGCCCGAGGCCATCGCTATTGTCTGCTCGCCAAAGTTTAACGAGTAAGTCATGGGTTAGACGTGGGGGCGTGTGCCATAATGTGAGTGTTTATTTTCCCTAAGTGACTGTGTGCTGAGGTGTGACTGCACTTTTATTCAGAATTGGATACTTCAAGTTGACAGACAGAGGAACGGAAGAGATTTCCACTTGTAAACAGAAAAGCTTTCACCCACACATCAAAGACCCCCCACTGTTTACAGTAAGTGCATGTCCATCAGCAGGCAAGAGAACAGTGTGCCTTTTGCATGTACTGCAGTAAACTATTTAAGTCTACTACAGTACAAAAATTACTTGCAATAAGTATACACATAAGTGTTAACAATGAAAGATTTTGTTTAATTTCATTCTTTTATATTATGTTGTCATCATTTACATTATGATTTATTTTATAATGTATTATTTTGTCTTTTATGTTTTATTATATTATTTGCTTCTAAAACTTTGCATAATCTGCTTGTTCAATTCAACAGACAATTTTGTTTTTATTTTTTTGTCCACAACACCCATTTGTTGGGACAGAGTATAATGTCAGTAAGGTTCACATATATAAAATTCTACAATTGGCAAAAATCAGGACAGAGAAGAAGAACAAAAATTCTTTAACAACCTTCGAACAACCTTTTGTAAAAATGTTGATGGCTGGATTTGAAATGTGAGATCAGACATGAACTTGAATGCACTTTTACGATGAGTTCTGATGATGTCTGATATTAAGTCTTCCATAAAAAAGGGCAGAGGATTAAAAAAAAAAATCAAAGTTTGATGTGAAATATATCTTGATATTTCTGTTTCCTTTTCAGCACGCTGGACATGTGACTATCACGAATGATGCTGTGTCTGTGATGGATTTGCGGTGATTTTTAACGTTTTATTTCTGTCTGAACACTTAAAAAGTCTCAAATCAAAGTGCAAACTGGAAAAACAAACTGGGGAAAAGAACTCAAATTTTTTTTCCAGGGTGGTACCGACCAGGAGCATTTTTATGGACTAGAGTTGTTATAAAAGGAACAACATTGTGACATTTCGCTCTGTGACAAAAAAACTCAATACATGACTGCACTTTCTCAGCAGTGTCATCTTCTCATTAAAGAGACTGACAAACCATTGGCTCTTCATTTCTTGTTTTTCTAATATGTGCTATATTTGCTTCTGTTTTTGTCGTCAGTGAAACAATGTCTGTGTCTGTTGTGTGAAAAACATCTCAATCTCTTCTCTAGTTTTTGATCAAAGTTTTGTCCTGTCGACCACACAAAGTGCCAAGGATTAGAACGTTATTGTTAAAATTGTTTACCACCCAACATAAAGTCCTGTTCAAAGTCTGTAACAACATCTCTTACTTTAGACTCTGTACGTTTCCCTTGTGAGCTACAAGAGAAATGAAAGTCGCTTTAAACTAAGGTATGTTGGCAGTGTTAATGCTGCTGCTCTGGATTATATTTTTTATACACAAACATCCATCTTCAGATTAGTTGTTTATAAAATGGGTTTTCATTTAAAGTCCATCTCTTTCTTATGTCTTCTTATATCTTTTTCTTTATTTTTTTTTTGTTACTTCTGTTTCGGAAGACACCTGTTTGTCAGTACACATTTCATTTTCCCTGATTATTTGATGTGCAACAAGCAACCTCTGTTTTTGCTACTCCTTATAACACATAATTAACCATGTGATCATGATTCATGTTAGTCTCCTCTCGTTAGCTTGATTCTTTGATTTGAAGTGGTGAATGATCACTCCTAAAAAATGACAATGAACTATACAACTACAAAAATAAACCTATTGTTAATCATATTGTTATCATATTGGTTATATCTGCTAAAATACAAAGTTGTTCATTTTGACAATTTTATGTCAATAAGTTTTTTGTAATAGACATCAACACACTTCATTGTGCTATGTTAATCAAAACGAACGCCAAGTGCCTTTAAAACACACTTCTGAACAGAAGGGTGCAGTAGTGTGCCGTCTCAGCCTTTTTTTAAAAAACGGCGAAGAAAACGGCAACGCGGAAACAATCTAACGCCTGTTTGTCTCCAAAGTGTTCTGTTAATTTAAATATTATCTTTTGAGACCTTCGCAAAAACAAATCAACATGGGGAAGCGACAACACCAAAAAGACAAAATGTGAGTATTGGAATTGGCCAGAAAATAATAGGCCGTAAGGTGAACCACGAAAAGTCCTTTAGAAATTGAATATCGCTCCGACGTCTGGGCACTACACGATCTCAACTTCATAAATAAGAACGAGTTACGTCAAACATACAGCAAAAAGTTCGTCGCAAAATATCCTGCCTGTTTTTTTTATATCGATGCATTTTATAAAGAACCATCGTCTTCGGGGCGCAATAAGATTTTGGTGCGCAAGCGGTGGCACGGTTCGACACCAATCGAGTAGCTGATTGATGTCAACACTTCCGGCAACACGGCTTCCTCTGTGGTTCTACTTAACGTTACCGATAGAGAGGAATTCTCCCAAAAGTCTTCTAAAGTGGGCCAAATGGATTCTAAACAGTGCTTTATACATAGCCGCCTGCACGAAGAACAATGAGGAAAATAGACGATAAGGTGAACTTTGTATGTTAAGTCATTTTGATCAATAAAAGGAAGTAATCAATAACAAGGACCATTTGTTTATTAATTCGTTCATTTATTCGCTCCTAACTAAATACAACACCGATCAATCAAAAAAACTTTATTAAAACATATATACATACAGTATCCCCTCCTTGAATCGCAACCTTAACGTGGTGGAGGGGTTTGAGTATCCGAATGAACCTAGGAGCTACAGTAGTATGAAAAAGTATCTGAACCTTTTGGAATTTGTTACATTTCTGCATAAAATCACCATCAAATGTGATCTGATCTTTGTCAAAATCACACAATGAAGAAACAGTGTCTGCTTTACCTAAAACCACCCAAACATTTATAGGTTTTCATATTTTAATGAGGATAGCATGCAAACAATGACAGAAGGGGGAGGGTATGCTATCCTGAAATGTGATCAGATCACATTTGATGGTGATTTTATGCAGAAATGTGACAAATTCCAAAAGGTTCAGATACTTTTTCATACCACTGTATGTTGTCGGGGGCTTAACGCCCCTGGTAGGGTCTCCCAAGGCAAACAGGTCCTAGGCGACGGATCAGACAAATAGCGGTTCAAAACCCCCCCTTGATGAAGAAAACAAATCAATCAAAGAGGTTCACATCGCCCGGATTGACGTCACCGGGGCCCCACCCTGGAGCCAGGCCCAGGGTTGGGGCTCGCAGACAAGCGCCTGGTGGCCGGGGCCTTGCTCACGGGAGCCGGCCAGGCCCAGCCCGAACAAGCGACGGGCGGCCGGCGTCCCGCG